GAAAACAAACACAAGGGGACAAAGACAAACCTGCTGCTGCAGCTGCTGCTGCTGCTGCATACAGAAAGTCTCTGCTGCAGCAGTGGAGGCCTTTAAGGGTTGTTCGATCCGGTGTGGGGCCCCTCACTGTCTCCGACGTTCACTACGCCCAACTCACTGGGGCCCTCGTCTTTGCATTTGGGGTTCCCCTGCTAGACGGCGTCAAACAGGTAAACAACAATGCAGCAGCTAGCTAGCTAGCTATGTAGCTAGGTAGCTGGATAGCTAGCTGGATAGCTAGCCCTTGCAAGCCGTCACCTCTTGTTCAAGCGTTTCTCACCCCCCATCCGGAGCTCGCTGGATAGCGAGCTGCTCTCGCTAGCTAGCTAGCCACTCTTCATGCCCAGCTAGCTACCTAGCTAGCTATGTAGCTAGCTAGCTAGTGTTTCTGACTAGCAGGTGTAGAGGATGTATCCATTTGGTGTATGCTGCTTGTGCTGCTGCAGGCTGTGGAAGAGTGTGGGGTGCCGCTGCGGGAGGCGGTTGTGGTGTATCGACTGCTAGAGGATTTAGAAGTTATATGCAATTATCACTTTGGGTCTCCGTTTGAATTGGTGCAGAGTGCGCGCGCACAGATAACAAAAGTCGGAAGCTACGAACTTAAAAAGAGAAAAGGAGGCAAAAGAACCGTCGTAGGAATTGAAGTTAAACAAGGAAGTCTAAACACACAACATAATTACACTCTGGTGAGTCCCCTCTCATCTCAGGTGTATGTACACCCCAACTCCCTTACAGATTCGCTCCACATATATCGAGCAGCTAGAGGTCGCTGCAGCACTGTACTTACTTTTATATTAATTATAATTCCTTGCTTTTTAATTAAAAAGGTGATGTTGTAAATATATCTCCTAAATATTATTTTGTTTTTAATGTAATATATATTATATAAATTTATATAATATATACATATATATATATATATATACATTTACAGGTTTAGGTGTATGTACACACACTACCGGGAAACAGATTAAGGCATGCTTGCATGCATGCCTTAATCTGTTGCAGGCACAGAGGAGATCCGCATAGACCTGACAGATGCATGCGCTCCGTTTCGTTTGCCTGCACCACTTTTCCTTTATCTGTTGTTGTGCATTTTACTTATGATTGGGTGGGCACAGTACATATATATATATATATATATATATATATATAT